TTTGGGAAGTACTGGGGCTGGTTGAAGCAGCAACATTAAAGAGCAGCGTCCACAGGGAGACTCTTTACCAGAGCCAGATGAGCTCATAGCAGGACCTTGAACTTCCAGACAGCAAGACAATAAAATCTGACTATTTAAGATACCTTACCTGTGAGATTTTACTATGGCAATCAAAGATGTCAAAGACAACATGGAACAGGAAGTGGGAAATTGCAAGGGAGGACTTTTGGCCTGATTCACACTAACACAGAAAGTGTGACAATTTGATGAAGCAACTAAGCTTCCAGTTACTGAAGCACCATGACTCACCACCTTTGCCCAAACCTAATCAACAGAATAGAGGTAGGATAGCTGTCACCCAACTTTCTCATCTCGCATCAAACATTCTTCAAAATGAAGGTACCAAAATGATGCTAATGAACTTGGGGCTATAATCACCAACCATCTTCTGTATTGCCCCAGCGATGCTAAAGTCTGTATCTTTGACACTAGTGGCCTTCTCTGAGCCCCAAATATATGATCTCCAGGGGCCATGTTGGGCATCAGACAGGATTCATCTGGGTTGCAGTTGCTTACAGAATGCCAAGGCGACATGAAAGGCAGAGCTGAGAGAGGCCTGATAGCACACATCCCCAGGGGTTTGTCCTAGTAAAGCCTGACGGACAGGCCTACAGTAGAAAGCAGTTGATTGCAGTCTTTACAGTAATGGCCTGTCAGGAACTTGATCTATTTCAACATGAAAGCTGGCATACAAATCAATAATGAGATAGCAAATCAAATCATTATAAGGCTAGGGTAGCATTCCAGTGAGTGGACTGATTGTGTTCACAGTGAAGTTGAAGACATGGCACTGGCAGGATTAGCCTTGGAGAGAGAAGAAAGCTCAGGGCTCCTGGTTTAAAGCTGGGGAAATTGTGATGCAAACCAAGAAACCTTGAAAGACTCAGGAAGGTTAAAGCATAGATAAAAGTGTAGGTAGCCTGTGGGAACTGAGGGTAAGAAGTAACATAATGAAACACATGCATTCAGCCCAACCTAGTCAATGACAACATTTCAAGAAGAATGACATAAAAATCTAACCAGTTAATGTTTAATTGTTAATTAACACTAAAAGCAAATCATTGAAAAAATTCAGACAAAAATGTCCATTTGAAATGCAGTCATTATCTAAAGAATTAAAAAAAAAATTTCTCTAAATCTCCCAACTTAAAAACAAAACAACAACAACAAAACTACAATAATGAGTATCTTAGAAGCAGCCACAGGTTCAACAATTTACAAAGAATTTGGCCTTCAAAAACTGTGAATAGTTTGTTCTCCAATTTTAAGCCAATTAATAACGTTTCATGGACTAATTCAAGATATCCTTTCACAACGAAACATATGGAAAATGTGTTTGCTCCTGTCAGTAGACAACCGTTAAAGGCATTCACAGGGGAGGTATGGATCACCTAAAGGAGTAGAGATCTTAGTAAAAACTTACTAAGTATAAGGTAAATATAAGAAGAATATATAAAAAGAGACCAACATGTAAACTGCAGTCCCAGGGAGAAAAACACCTGTGTGAAGAAGACTCCAACTGGCCAACAGATCAGAACTCCCTGACATGGATCATTAGACCTTGCAGAACTCCCTGATGTGGACTGTTAGACCTTGCAGAACTCTCTGACATGGATAGTTAAACCTTGCAGAACTCCCTGATGTGGACAATTAGACCTTGTAGAACTTCCTGATGTGGACTGTTAGACCTTGTAGAACTCCCTGACGTGGATCATTAGACCTTGTAGAACCCCTGATGTGGACAGTTAGACCTTGCAGATCCAGAACCAGACTACCTTGCTACTCACTGTCCATGCTCTTCCTGACTCTCACCCTTTTTATAACCCATGCTTGTTATTGTTTTTGTTCTGAGACAGGGTCTCACTCACTGTGTAGCTCTAGCTGGCCTTGAACTCACAGAGATCTGCCTGCCTTTGCCTCCACAAGTGCCACCCAGCTTTTGCATCCATTCTTGACAAACTAATACCTTCACCAATCCATAAGTGAAGAATATCATGTCACCTGAAACCCTCAGCAGGGTTTTCCTAGCTTTGTTGTACCTCTGTATTTGGTAAATATATTAGTTTTCATTTTTTTGTTTTTTTTCTAAAGAAAACTAATGTACCTCTGTCTATGGTGCTGTTTGGGACAATCTGCATCCATGTTCCTGGGCCACAGACAGCCACTCATAATTTGGCTTAGAATAAGCGCTTATTTGCTTTGAAGTTGAGCCTGGTGTTCTGCATTAAATAGTCCTTTCCTCTTGAGAGGGGAGGATCTCATTAGGTTCACAGACTGAATAACTATAGCTCTTGATATCTGTACCTGCCTATTATAGAAAAAGCATTCTAAAATCTTTGATTGAATGTCATGAATGATCACTATGGCCACAGACATGGGGAGAGGCTTCAGGATTTGACATACATTTCATAAAATCCAATTAGGAAATGGGAGGTAAGACCATGACAGATAAAAGCAGCTAATCCTGTTGGGATTCTGAGTTTCTATATGAATGCTTTCCGGGTCATTCTGTTAGAGCGTAAAGGAGGATCCAGGCTGAAAAGGACTCACTTCCAGGGTGAGTTTCTGCAGGGAGAGCACAAGGCTTCTCCAAAGCTAGATCCAGAGGGCCTGTGTACACACGTTTGAGGGGAGGTGGTCGGGGTGTTTTATGGTTGGGGATGTTTTGCCTTTGGATTCTTGAGATTTGTGGTGCTTCAAATGAATTCCCTAGAGGAACCTATTTTCCAAATGTCACAAGGAGCTCAAAATATGAAACATTACAGTCATGATGCTGTCAACTATCTTCAAATCCCTTTTCTAGAGTGAGGGGCCTAAAGCAGTGACTGAGGCGTCTATACTAGTTTCCAACCCTGAATCCTGATTCTATGACCATGGGAAAAATCACTTAATTTCATTCATTTCTGCTGGCTTGTGTACAAAATGGAGGTTTTGAAAGGATCACATGGCTTATCCCAGGGGTTTATTGGGTAGGCTCCTGTAGGCACTATGTCTCTTTCTCCAAGAACAAGAAGAATAATGTACAAATCCAAGACAGTTTCATGACATAGCCACAGAAGTAGGGTTCAGGCTCAAGTCTTCCCACGTGACACAAGTTGCCATCTAGAGAGGTGAAGTACATGGTCTGATCACAGGGGCTCATTAGGGGAGATGACTAGCAACCCTATACTTATAGCCTGTCATCTTCCCCTTGCTGGACTTAGTAAATGGCCCCTCAGGCCCAGTGCATATTCACTAATCAGTAATTTGCATCTACCCTAGATATTCAAAAAGAAAAAGGCAAAGCATGATTTCCAGGAAACTACTGCTTCAAAGTACAAATAGTGACCTTGAAAGTACGACCAGATAAGTCATTTTAAGCTCTTATACTTTGATTAGGTCAATATGGATCTATCAACAAGTAGAAAGATTTATATTTTATATTTTTTGTTTGATTTTTTATGTGTGGTCATTTTCAATATTACAAGGAGGGAAAAGCTTTCTCTAAGAACTCCAACTTTCCAGACAGCCTTACTCTGTATAGAAGGGACTTAGATTAGTTTCTAATCATCTGCATTTTCTGTCTCATGAGTAAAGTTATACAATCTCATTTTTTTTATGTTTCCTTGTAACCTTGGACATTCTCGATTTATAGTTTCATGATGGTGTCAAATCAACCTGAGTTTAATGGCAATCATACTTCAAATCTTTATCTGGACTAGCTATGTGTAATATCATACCTTTTCATGATTCTGGGTAGCAGGAGTAAGCTTCAGGTCCTAGTTATTGACCTAATCGCAGGCAAAGACTGATAACTTACAGTGTACTCATGGTGTTGCAGACAATATGGACAAGTAACTACTATCACATCAGTGTCTACACTTAGGTAGATGTCTGAATTAGAAAGTAAAAACTTGAAAGCAATACATGACACAAAGGAAGATACATTAATAAAGGCACTTGCCACCAAGCCTGACAACCTCAGCTCAATCCTAGACCTACATGGTAGAATGAAACCAAGTCCTTCCTCTCCCTCCCCCCTTTCCTCCCTCCCTTCCTCGCTACCGCCCTCCCTCTCTCTGACACACAAGTACAAAAAATTGCTTAAATCAAGGAAAAATTGATATGAGAAACTGCAGAGATTTTTTTTTTTTTTAAACAACAATCCAGGGTCAAGTAAAGCAGAAACAGTGTCCTTATTCAGACTTACACACCCATGCATTTGCACTCAACAAATAGGCAGTGTATATTCTTTCCAACAATTTGTCTCTCTATATGCTTGGATATGATCTGAGTGTTTGGGATAACGGCATATTTATATGCCACTTAAATGCACATCACAAGTTGCTATAGCTTTTGAAGCATTTCCTTCTCACGGGAAGCACCGAGGCTGATGTGGAGCAAGGCTGGGGAGGCCCAGCACCCTCCCAGGGCCACAGAGCTCGTCACCTACCTACTTGTGCTTCACCACAGAACTCTTGGCTAGGGACATTTGGAACCACCAGCATCTTACTTTCCATTTTTTTTTTTTTTTTTACACATGCTTACAATAGCAACAATTCAACACTAGATTTTGGCAGAAAACAGATGCAGAGCATTCTTAAAATGTCAGTTTCATATTGGATTATGTCTCCTGATAGAGTTTTGCTGAAAAATTATTTTTGTCATGGCTCATCCATTTAATTTTAAGAATTTTGACAAGTATTTACTTATTTATTTTTATGTGATACAGCTGTTGGGGTCCTTGGCATTTGATTTCACTGCTATGTTTTACTTGGGAAGTAAATACAGATATGGATCCTTTTAGGCCACTGGAATTCATTTCTTCACACCTTCAGATGCTACTTCCACAGGACGGAAGAAAGAGGCACCATCCTATCTACAGACACCGGCTTTCATGGGAAGTCAGGAGCTGTTGGAGGACCACTTGACTACACATCCATGCAAATCAAAGTGCTTACCCAATTCGTATCTTCAGCATGCCGCTGAACAACTCAGGGCTATTGGAGATGATCCAGCCGATATGGATGACTAGTTCTTGCTGAATGACTGCCTCCCTTTCATCATGGGTATTACACTTATAATAGATGATGTTCTTAATCACTCTTGGAGACAGAGGGTTAGAGATGACCTCCTCTTCGTGTCCAAAGGCACCCAAAGTTACCTGTAAGTGCCAGATTGTACTGTTAACAATTTCCTAGCTTAAAAAGAGAGAGAGAGAGAGAGAGAGAGAGAGAGAGAGAGAGAGAGAGAGAGAGAGAGAGAGAGAGAGAGAATTTAAGGTTTGGGTGACTGGCAGGCTGAAATTGCTCTATGCAAGCTAGGGAGTTAGGAAGGATAACGGTTTCTGATATTTATTAAAATGGCTTTCAAAGCATGACTCCCACTGGGGTTCATGATAGTTCAGAGTCTGGTCTAAAATGTAAGGGCATGTGAGGGTCTCAGAGGAGTGAAGGTTGAGTAGATATGTATAACTATTAATTTTGGAGGGGGCAATTTTAGTGCTAGAAAGTCCCTAGAGGAACCAGAGTACATTCAATAGTTGTATTTTACTATACAGTTCAGCATTTGGGAGATCTATTTTTACAGTTTTTCAAGCAGAACCTTCTGCTCTATAAAAACATTTCAACCTTTCCAAAGTCAGGAGAAAGGCCATGCAGTTTTTATGTAGCCCTCACTTATTCTGGAATAAGGTTAGGTATATATGGAGGGCTATGATCTAGATGGCTCACCTATGGAATGGATGGACTGGCTGCCCACAAGCTTGCCAAAGGAAAAAATTCAGAGGGAAATGACAAAGACAACTCAAAACAGAAAGTGCTGACAGAGCTGACAAGATAATGCTTGCATTTCTGCTTTCTTTGGCTAGCTGCTTCTCAGGGGGCCTGCAGCTCTTGCTTCCTCCTTGTCACTACTTCTCATCTCCTCTGTGTACAGCTCACAAGTGTACAAGGCAGGAAAAGCAACAGTACCCAAAGACACGTGCTGTCAGAGACGAGGAGCAGAACATAGTCTTCTGCTCCAATGTTGTAATGGATTAAAAGTAAGAACTGGTTGGTATAGTGGCCAACATCCAAAATAAAAATTCTTTTGGAAGCTGAGGCAGGAGAATAATGAGTGTGGGGCCAGCCTGAGCTTTAGATAATTACAAACATATATATATATATATATATATATATATATATATATATATATTAAACCAACCAACCTCTAAGAACTACTGATTTAGCAAGCATTAATGACATCAACCAGTAAATATGAGTGTGATTACTTTGATTAAAATGTCACCGTGTAAAGAAAACAGAGGTACATTATTGGCTCCTAGAGATAATAAGACTAAACTACTTTTATTCAAGAGAGCTTGAGACAATTTAGAAGTCATTTGAGGAAACCACACTACTTCACACTGAAGCACATTTTACAAATGACAAATGCACACTTAGCTCTATTTCCATTTCTCTGTCTGTGAAGGGATGAGAATCAGTACAGACACTGCCTGTATCTGGTCACTAGGCTGAGCTGTTGGTGTTTGGCCTCATCCTTTGCAGCAAGGAAATATTTCTCCGGCAGAGGTACCATAGGTGGAGGGCAGGCTCTGAGGCTTCTGGAATGTGGCAGCAGGGTCTTGAAGGCAGGCTGCAGCCTCCTATGGATACTGTTCAGATGGATAAGGCAAATCCACCTGTCTAGTGTCAGGTCAGTAACCTCCAAAAGCTCTAAAAGCCATGGGCACAGGTAGGAGTATTAGCTATGCTTCAATGTTATGGGAACTTACACACCAAGGAGAAACATGTTTCTCAAAGCCTGGCTAACGTTCTTTCACAGGTATAATGGTGTGGGACTCTTGAGAGCACAGACTCTGGCTACAGATAAAGATCCTGGTAATAACAGGCTCTGGGTAAAGAACTTCCCGTTCTTGGTTTGCCAAGTCACCAACAGAGGCTTAAAGTTAACCTTGTAATGTGGAGCACAGAGAAAACTATATGGAAAGTAACTTTTTCTCAGTAATTTCTTATTGGTGTAATGACTTTTAATTGTTGAACAACATCCCAAGAGAAGGTAAATATCATTATTCCAACATCCCTAAAGCTGGATTTCTGAATGAAATTATTTCAGTTTTAATTAAGAGCCCTGAGATATGAGCAATTAGTTGATAATATTAAGGAAGGTTAAAGGATTCCATTATTATTAAAAGTTACTATATTCCTAGATTAGCTGTCAGGAACACACAATAAACAAATACATTTCCAAAGGAGAGACAGAAAGCAAACAGGGCTTCAGTCTAATCAAACAATGAATCAGCCAGATGACCAGCGATTACAGGAAATGAACAGCAGAACCAGACCCCACATGCATAGCTCAAGCCAACCCATTTACCCTCAAGGATTATAGAAGGAGACACAGGGCCAGGGAAGGAGGAGAGAGGGAGGGAGGGAAGGAGAGAGAGAGAGTGTGCCAACTATAGATGGGCCTGTAAACAGAAGACAGATTTGATGGTGGTGGGTAGAAAGGACCTAGGTGAGAGATGGCCTGGAGTGTGAAGGGTGGGGGGGGGCAGTAGACCTGGCTCTTCTTGAATATTAATAGACTTAAGAGGAGTGGGAAGGGAGGATCAGGCAGAGTTCTTTGCTATGTACCTAGCTTCTCTCACACATCATAACTGGTCTGAGTGCCCCACTAGCTTCATTATTCTGTTTTCTACACCAGAATCTGCACTCAAGTAAACATGGAGGCTGGAAATGATAGCCCCAAGGTGCAGAACAAAAATGAGATGGCCCACTCAGTGCTCTGCGGCTTTCAGATATGTGTGGATCTTTTCTTCTTGAGGAAAGAGACTTTCTAAGAAACTCCCAAGCCAATTCTAATCTCTTTGTGAGCCATCAATGACATCAAGGCATGCCAGATGTAAGTGTCCTAAGCAGAAACTGTCATGACTGACATGTGGGAAACAGATACTTACCTGTTTACCCTGCACTAAAACATTAGTAATGGATGGGGCCAGGCTGTCCACTACTTTACTTAAAAGACTTGCTGCACGGCGTACAACCGACCTGAGGGCAAAGAAGAAAGCAGGCCAGATCTTCACAAACAGAAAAGATGAGGAATGAGTGGTGCCCTTGATTTGGGGAAACTTAAAACATATACAGTTGGGTCCTCACAAGATAGAGAAGAAACAATGAACTGCCATCAGACCTGACCCTTGAAAGGCAGTCTCACACTCACCTCAGCCACCAAGCTGTGGCAAAAGGCATCACTGGTGCCAAGATCAATATCAAAATAGTAAGGTAAAGAAAAAGGCCAAGAGGAGGCCCTAACCATTCTTTTAACGGGGAGGAGGAAGCCAGGAGTTAAGAGCATTCTGCTTTGTATCAGCAGGATCACGAAAGCATTTCTGCTGCTTGTGACTGATTTCTGTACCAATTATACATTTCTTTCTACTATGTTATTTTTAAATCATGTCTATATGTGTGTGCGTGTGACTGTGGGTACATATGCGTACATGAGTACAGGTGCCTAAGAGACTGGCAGCCTAGAACTCCCTGGAGCCAGAGCTAGCAGTGGTCATTAGCTGCCAGATGTCAGGGACCAAGCCCGAATCCTCTGAAGAGCAGTATGTGCTCTTACCTACTGGGCCATCTCTCTCTAGCCTTGAATTATTATACTTTTGATACCTAGATAATCAGATGCCTGGATTGGGGACTTGGTAGTGAGTTTCAGAAATGAATTACTCTCACTTTCTTTCTTGACGAGGACAGAATGGTGGGGGGAAGGAATTCACACCTCTATTTTTACATTCCTGGAAAAGTCTTAGAATGTAGAGGGAATAGATTTACACCCCCCCCAAATTACACCACATGCAATATATAAGACATTTCCCCTCAAAAGAAAGTTTATGTGAACATTTAGAGAAAATAAATCAAAATAGGTTTGAAAGCACCATTTTTTTTTTTTTTTTAATTTCAGGATCTCCACAGGAATTGGCCTATAACAAGCATTTGTATTTCTTAATTACAACATGAACAGACTAGTAGAAAAATCAAGCAAATAGCTGACCAAGTTAGTGAGACAGATACATCCCATTTCTAGAGAGACACTTTTACCAAGTACTTGAATACCAAAAGACGCATATAACCCTCGGAATGCAGGTAAACCCACACATATCAAGCAACTTGAGTTTCCCAAATTCTGTGCATGTTACCTGTTTCCCATGCACCAGAAAGGTGGTAATGTGAGGGGCTATAGAGGAGGAAAATTTCTGGGTGAATGCAGCCCCGTACCGCACAGCCAGCCTGGGGGCAGTGGAAAGCCATAAAAGGGAGAATAGAATAAATAAAGCTTCCAGGACTCCATTTGTTTAAATATAACAGTCAGCATTTCTAAATGGTTGCTACTTAGTGTTTTATCAAAGACATAGTATAATGCAGAAGCAAGAATTGGTTTTGCTTAGCACAAATAATACTATAGGCCCATGCAAAATACACTATCTATAAAAACATCTACTGGCTGCAAATCTTACTGTACTGAACTTACAAAGGAAATTTGACATATCTAAACTGGATGCTTATTACTTCTCCAGGCAGGAAGAGTGTATCCACCATAAAGCAGAGATGTAGCGCTACTTAGAAATGATTTTGCCCAGTCCCCTTATTTAATTGCATCAAAATGCAGAGCTGCACGTTTAGGTACACTCTCCTCACTGTGAATTTAAACATCTTTATTCATGATTCTTTCAACTTAAGTAATGAGATAATTACCTTTCATTATTTTTGCTTAGAATGAAATGGTCTTTTATGGTCTTCTAAAACAATAAAACAGATTTTCTAAACATAAGATGCAACTTAAAAGACCCTCCTCTGGATAGAGCAGCACACTGGAAACACAACCCTGCTGCCCCAGTTAGGACTCTCTAGGTTGGAACCCTGGGGAGGCTTTTATCTCCAGATAGCTTTCTTTAGTGTTGGGTGACATAGGAACACCCTTCAAAAGTCTGAAGTCAGGGTGGTGTAACTTTAGAGTTTAAAGTCAAAATGAGGCTGAGCAAAATCTATAAGAATCAACTGTTATCATTAAGGTGCTGAATATAACAATATAAAAATTAAAACATAACAAGGAAACTAATACAAACCATAGCTTTTTGCTGCCAGCTCTTCTATACACTCTCTCAATGTGATCAGACACAGTACCTAGACATAGGATAAGGAAAGTCTTCATTGAAGAAAGCTTTTAATTAAATGCACAACATATATTTACCTTCAATGAACAAAAAAACTCTTAAATATTCATTTTGTTTTAAACTGACTGGTTTAAATATGTAACCCAAATAAGAAGCATGTGTTCCCAGCACCTTTATGATTTGGTAGTGCTTTCAAAGTTCTATTGTTTTCTTAACTAATATGTAATTTAAACTTTTCAGCAAATACAAGTATTATTTTACCTTTCTACAGAAAACAGAACATAATAAAACAATTAGGCTCCTGAGTACATACATATTTTTTCAATGGGAGGTTATTAAGGCCCTGTTAAGTGTGTGGAGTTGTGATCATCTAGCATATCCCAAAAATTCACTCTTAGAACACAACTCACATGTGGTCAACATACCCCCTGGGATTCATACTTTGGCTGTGAGTCACATGTGGTCAACACCCTCCCCCTTCTCTGAATTCACTCTTTGGTCATGGCTCACATGTGGTCTGTACTCTGGACTGGTTTTGTCAGTAAGAAATAATGTGACAAAATTGAGCCCCTGAAAAGTTAGTAAGGATAAGGAAAAAAGATCTTTAAAATTTCACTTATTTTTACAGTCTTAAATTAGATTAAATATATCCAGGTTCCAAGCAAATGCTGGGCTTGGTGGTGCAGGCTGTATCCCAGCTGAGCTGGAGGACTGCAAGTACAGAGCTTGCCTGGATTGCAGAGGGGGTCAAAGGGTAGTGTGCACACCCCAGTGAGGTTGCTGCAAAGTGAAGAGTAGTAACAGGGCTAGAGATGCAGTTCAGTGCTGAGCATTTCCCTAGCATGCACAAGGAGGATATTCAAACCCCAGTACTGCAAATAAAAACAAATTTAAGAAGCAATTCTAAAGTCTTCTGGACATCCAAGTAAAAGTTGTTTATTTCTAAGCATATTAAAAGTGCTTTGAAAACATTTTTCAGTAATAAATAACTAAAAAATAAACAAAACAACTCCAAAACCTAAAAATAAACAAAAACATGTCGAATTCTTTTCATTTTAACTTATAAATGTTTTACTTTTCTTTTTTTTTTTTTACTAAAGGCTAAATGTCAATGATTGTCCTTAATTAGATTCTGTTAATCCTTAGTATTAAGACAAAAAAAAAAAAGATTTTGTTTGAAATCTTCTTTGTAATACTCGAAAATTCTGTTAACTGTTAGTGTCATGGTGGTATTTAGAACACTTCCACTTTAACCAAACTAATATGTACCGCTAAACAGTGTTTTGAGATAAGCCAAAAATTCCGATGACTAGAAATTAAACACATCTCAATATATCCTATATCATTCTGTACTATAAAATGCCAGAATCAGATCATGAACTAGAACTTAAGGATTCCTCTAGCACTGACCTAACATACAAACATGGATTCAAGGATAACTAGAGTTCCTCCTCAAAGCAGAGTGGGCACAGACACGATTAGAAATGACTTATTTTTTTATTGACCACCTTCAGAGCAAAATCCCATTAAGTGCCACATTCTGTTCCAAATGGCTACTACAAACCATGAAGAAGCCAATTTTCATAAATGTTGCTATTCAATACTTGTTCTTGAAAAATTGCAGGAAATAAAATGGGAAACAGCAATGTCAATAAGCAACTATAGGGTGCTCAGAAGTTCACAGTCATAGGCAGAATTCAGGCTCTAGGAACAGTCAGGAATAAAAGTGAGCCACTGCATGAGAGTCCCACCTGAGTCACACACTGCACTAGAGGGTGAAGGAATGCTTCCCATTCAGAGGGGTGAGAGACTTAGTGGAAGAGGAAATAACAGAACAATGGGCATATCTGATTGGCAGATTACAGAGGTCCTCCTCTTACCTTCCATTGTGATGAAGTCAGGGCCCTCTCTTTTGAGCAGTATACCCAGCAGGATGGTCTGACCAGCTAGACAATTGCAGTTCTGAAAACATCATTTGGTATAAGGAAATGAGTATCAGTAACCATGGGATTTAACTAATAACAAAATCACCCAATGCAGAGAGGAAACAGTCTGATACAGAACAGAAGAAAGATGTCATTGATACAATAAAGATGAGATGACATTACAGACCTGTTGGTCTGAGAGGTGCCTCAAAAGCAGAGGGTACACAAGTCAGCTTCTGGATATAGTAGGATTCAATGGTCAAATGTTCCAGTAAATAAAATAATTGATGGATAGATTCTACGGTGTGTACAAATATTAATGTACTATCTTGAGACTTGGCCAAGTCACTCTCATCCTGGCTTTACTCATTTATAAATGGGAGATTGATGGGGGAATGTTCTTCTGTATATGTTTCTCTTATTGGTTGATGAATAAAACACTAATTGGCTGATTGGCCAGGCAGGAAGTATAGGCAGGGCTAGGAGAATTCTGAGAAATGTAGGCAGACTGAGTCACCATGTGAGCTGGGGAAGAGAGGACTTGCTTCTCCAATATGCCAAGACCATGTGGAAATACACAGATTAATAGTAATGGGTTAATAATTAAGACAGAGTTAGCCAATAAGAAGCCCTAGCCACCAGCCAACAGTTTATAAATAATATGTGTTCATTTGGGACTGAAGGGCGGCGGGACTAGCCAGGACAAAGAAATCCCACTACAGGAGATTGTTACTGTTAGGGTATATGGAAAGGCACATGTTCTCTGTGACTGCTATGTGATATTCTTGTTTATATGGATTAATAAGAAGCTAGCTATGACTGGAAGGAAACTATCTAGTTTACATGCTCAAATCTGTGTGGCCAAACAAGACCCAGTGTTCTACCAGTAAGGCTTTATTTCTTTTTATAAGTGTGAATAATCTCAAGGGAGATTAATAAATTGCTAGAGCATTCATGTGGGCACATCAGTGTTTCCTCAGTGCAGGAGAGGAGACAAAGCACTCATTGGAGCTGAATGAACAACCAGAAGAGCCTTTAGGCCACATCATGAACTCTATGTCTTTAATGCTTTGCATAACCAACTGCAATCTAAGAGAGTCTTATCATCTTCACTCCTTCATACATCCATACTGACTCTGGCCCAATAAGACAACTTTACACAGCTTGCCCTGGTTACAGACCAGCCACTGGATTCTTCCAGAGGACACAAAGACACAGGGCCTGACTGAGAGGTCCTGTTCTGGCAGGTGTGATTACATCTCACTCACATTCAGCCTCTGCAGGATGTCATGGGTGGGTTTGTTTCTCCACTCGGTAATGGTGACATCCGGTTCCTGTCTCAGCTCAGGAGCATCTACAGTACTGCTCTGTCGTTTGACTTTTGAATGCTTGGGAAACTCTAGTTCTTCAAAGCTCTTAAACTCTGGAAGTCTGGAAATCAAAAGAAAACATTTCAGATTTCCTGCTTTCTTGATGTAATCACAAGAAATACAAAAACCAAGTAACTTAAGGGGACTTACTTTTCTGTGTCACTAATGCGTAGAAAGTCAAGTTGTTCTAGTACAGCTCCAGATATCAATGTCTGAAATGTGATGATTCAAAATGTTTACATCTGTCATACTATACTCTATGTTTGTACTTTTCTATAAGCAATGCTGGTTTACTAAATATGACCCAGAAGTGATTTCCTAAGTGAGCATTCCAAATTCAGAGATTTCCATATGAAACAAAGGAAAACAGAACACAAACATCTACAAATAGACTGTATACGTTAAACAAACAACAAGTTCAAGAGTCATATTAAATAGGAAAGCTACCACGAGATGGTCTTGGTTTTCTTTTTAATTACAAGCATTTATTTAATTATTACATTGTTGGGGATTGAGCCCAGAGTCTCCATTGATTGTTTAAACTTCCATCTTTATATGCTTTATTTTAAAGTAGGTACTAAAATATTTATTAAAACATTTATTAAAACATTTATTAAACTTTCAGAAAATGAAGTACTAAATTGTTTTTGGGAACAGCAATAGATCCTGATATTGTAATGTATTTCAGGGCCATCACCTGATGTAATAAACATCTCTCCATTTTACAGGAACATGAAGGTAATGATTATCTAAGCAATTGCTTCTCTGCATTCTGGCATGTGGCAACCCATACTTGGTCATTTTATATCCCACTATTTCTCAATTAATAGTTGGGAAAACTAAATGAGTCTAAACTCAAACACGGTTTTTGCTTGTCATCATGGTGAGTAGTATGAATGAATTTTTTTAAGCATTACTTATCACTTCTAATAATCTAGAGAACTGTCAGAAAATAAGCTGTAAGTTATTATTATTTTTAAATTAAATATCCCTATTAGGATTATCTTACAAATATCATTTTATTCCAGTTTTCTTCGAATATGAAGAAGCTGTGGGTAGGAGATAATGCTTTTGGTGGCAAATGAACCCATCATTTCTCTAGTGGAACCCATGAAAGAGGAACATCCACAAACATGCACTTATAGATGCAGGGAGGACACACAACACAGGCACACCATTCTTCCCTGTAAAGCATGGACAAGAAAGCCAAATGTGCAACCCTTGCCTACATTTCAACATTGCCCAACTATAAGCAGACTGCTCTTAGATTATGAACTTTCTGAGGGCAGGGTCTTTCTTTGGATTTATTGAATGGTGTTTCCCAGCACATGAGTGCACATCTATATGATTTTTGGCAAAGTAATTTGTTAGACAAATACTTATTGATCATATGCAAGCATTATATTAGGTGCTAAGGGTTAGCATGAAAAAATATATGAAATATTTACTCCCTTGAAGGTGACTGTGGTGGTTTGAAAGAAAATGGCCTCCAAGGGAGTGGCACTATTAGGAGGTGTGGCCTTGTTGGTGGAAGTGTGTCACTGTGGGAGCGGGCTTTGAGGTCTCTTTTGCTGGAGCTTCCCTCAGTATGATTGTCAGTCAACTTCCCACTGCCTACAAGATGTAGTACTCTCTGCCCCAGCACCACATCTGCCTGCACGCTGCCATGCTCCTCATCATGATGAACCTCTGAAGCTGTAATCAAATCACCTGATTAAATGTTTTCTTTGTAAGAAATGCCATGGTCATGGTGTCTCTTCACAGCAATAAAAACCAGAACTAAGACACTGACCTTATAAATGTGTGTATAAGATGGAAGCTATAAACTTCGTAGATATCAGATGATGTAATTGCAAGAAAGAAAAATAAATGCTAAATATAAATAAGAACAGTAGGGGGAAGAGATACTAGGGCAGAGGAATTTGAGGAGTCAGATTAGAAAATTTCTCTAACAAGATAATATGTAAATTAAATAATGGGAGGAGGACTATAGTGAGTGCTCAGGCTGGAGGAGGACTACAGTCAGTGCTCAGGCTGGAGGAGGACTACAGTCAGTGCTCAGGCTGGAGGAGGACTACAGTCAGTGTTCAGGCTGGAGGAGGATTATAGTCAGTGCTCAGGCTGGAGGAGGACTACAGTCAATGCTCAGGCTGGAGGAGGACTACAGTCAGTGCTCAGGCTGGAGAAGGACTACAGTCAGTGCTCAGGCTGGAGGAGGACTACAGTCAGTGCTCAGGCTGGAGGAGGACTACAGTCAGTGCTCAGGCTGGAGGAGGATTATAGTCAGTGCTCAGGCTGGAGGAGGACTACAGTCAATGCTCAGGCTGGAGGAGGACTACAGTCAGTGCTCAGGCTATCAAGTACAAAGGTTCCAGGGCAGGAGAATGCATGGTGAATTTTGGAAGCAATAAAGAAGACATTGGGTGTGGCTGACATACGGTGGCTGGGAAGTTGGTAGAAAGCCAGGCCCATGATGCAGGTGCAGGACGTACAGCTCACACAGACCATCTTTGGGACTCCAGTTTAGTTGTGAGAGAAAAAAGTCACTGGAGGTTTACAATCCATGTGGCTGCCAGTGACAAGTGAGTTTGACAAAGCTGATTCTCTATAGTAGAATTCAGGAGATGACAGGAAAATTTAGTGAGGGACAATGGTAGCCTAGATCATGTCAGTGCTAGGGGAAGTAAGTTAGAATCTGGATACACTAAAAAGGTACAGACAACAGGGTTTAATAAGTGATTATCATGAAGGGTATGAAAAACAGTCAAAATTACTAAATTCTTAAAGCTAATAACAATATTGAAAGCACAAAAATGAGACTTTTATTTAACGTTTTATATTTATATAGCCTACTTACCCTTATTGGCTATTTATGTCCATAAAGTCAATGTTTATCTTAAGTTAACTGGCTCATGCCAAATCCTATTAATACTCTATAGATTTCAATTTAAAACACCACTGGTAGTAGAGGATATTAAATTAGGTAAAAATACTTAATTTTTCTGGGAGAGGATGTATAAAAGGAGGCAGCAATACTCTGGGCGGGGAACAATAGGTGCTTCTGTTCAGGAATTGTGTGGGCAATGCTATGATGCTTGAATGGAACAATGACTTCTCCTGGTTGGATGTTACAGTTCAGTAAGCAAAAGAGCACATGGCCAAAATGCCTGTAAAACCCCAAGGTTATAAGCAAGTCACTTGTCCACTTCTGAACTGGTTTCCTCAAATACCAAACTGAAGTTAAGGCACCAAAGTCTAAAATTCTGTGTGGATAACAGCCACTCAAGCAGCTGACTGGTACAGCTGGATAAACAAGATGATGACAGCAGAGCAGGAAGGCAAGCACAGAACTTGTGAACATTGAGAAAGAAACATGGCTGCCCTGAGATTAGCTGTCCAGAACCAGAAACAAGCTGAGGTTTAGAAGGCTACCTGTAGTCGATCAACATGAACTTTGACTCCTCCAATTACTCCCTTTTTAAAGGCTGCCAGCATGTCTAATATGGGGTTGAATCTGCTACCTCTAGAAGGAAGCAAATAAACAAAACAAGCTTGTTAACAACAGAATGGGAAATTAACAATCAAATATTTGCTATATATGCGAAAGCGCTTGTAACATGCTAAGAATACAAACATACCAGGAAGCTCTGTATTTAAATGTTCTATGTTAACAGCTATAAGGCAAGTGAAGCTTACTTTCTAAAAATCTATGTATGTTACTTTTAGTTATGTGATATGCCTCTGTGTGTGGGTGTGTGCGTGTGCATGCAGTACCCATAGAAGCCAGAAGAGAGTGTGAGATTCTCTGAAACTGGACTCACAGGTTATTGAGAACCATCTGGCAAAAATGCAGGGACCTGAACTCAGGCCCCTGCAAGAAATGTATAGGCTTTTAAGTGCTGAGCCATTTCTTTGGCCCCACCTTACTTTTCCAACCTACCTTATGTTGTCTTCCCGGATGAGAACAAGGAAAAGTGGGCGTCCATGCATTTTCCAGTATTGCTTAATGAACTGTAGCGCATTCTATCAAAAAATTATATGGAGGTAGGATGTCATAGAGGAATGTCTGAAGTTGCCTCATTAACCGAGAGGCAAAGCACCCATGATACTTGTTACAGTGATAATCAAACCCTGGATAATTTAGGCTACTCAGAAGTTTAGAATCATTTTCATTTTAAATTTTGCTCTATGTCTTGAGGCTCTGACTTATTCATGCCTTTCTTTACCCATTCCCTTCATGTTTTTTTCTCTCCTTAAAAAAGTACAGTTCATGAATGAATGGAGAAAAAGTGATCCCCATGTTCTGTCATTCAAAAGAACTTCACGACCTTTCAATGTGGATTTAGTATCAGGAGGCGAAGGACACAGATCTTTGGAAACCATCAGTTACATGTTAGGAGTGCTTTGAATAAACATGTTTTCTCATCAGCATCACGTAACTTTTCACCACGTACTCAGGACTTTTTGAGTATCTTACATTAATTCATCAATTCCTCAGAACAGCCCTTTTGTTATCTGATTATACAGATGAAACAAGAGGTGCACAGGTGCTAAGTAACTTGCCCAAGAACACACATCTGGTTAATGAGAGTCAAGAATTTAACAGATGCAGTCTGGTCCAGATGTTGTGACTATGATTCTATAGCTCTCTGTAGAGTGGAGCAGATCATAACCCATATAATTATGGGTTAGTTGAAGTCCTACTGAATAGTCTTCACAAATAAAATTATTCTGCTAGTACAATTTTTGCTCAAAAAGAGACGAACGATTAGTATCTTAGAAGTACAGTTTCAAACTGTATCTTTTCCATTTCTAGAAAAGTGTCATTTTAGTTTAGCATGATGAGAATCCCAAACTCTGCCAGGGTGCTGCTTTACTCGGTGTCAGTCAGGAACTCTCCATTTTGTAACACCTGACACAAATCAGTGTGAACAAAAGCATCTCTTTTCACAGCTACCTTTATGTCATCTATCAGCAGCAGAACGTCCTGAGACATGTAAAAGTCACTCAGGTCAAAGATGATGGGGTAACAAACCACTGTCTTTCCTAGGATGCGATAGATCTGCAAGGGGAAATAAAAGCAAATAGATACAAAACACAAAGGTGTAGGATCCTAAGTCTCAATAACAATAATACTGATCCTTATTTCTGAATAGACAAAGTAATAGCTTACAAAATCCATAAATAATAATCTTAAAGATTCGTTTATGTTTGAGTCAGTATGATGGTAAACTTGAAGTAGAACATTTCTAATATGTTGAAAAACCCTATGATTGAGTAAATATTATTATGTTTTACAAAGCTTAGCAATGACATGTTCATTTATTCCCAGAAAGCTTCAGTAATACGACACTAAATAAGTAAGATTTATGTGTAGAAAATAATAATTCAAATAGCTGCCTCAAGCACATAATGAAATATGGCAAGGGATGGCCAGAGGCCAAGCATGACTTGAGCATGAAGAATTACTACCCAAAGCTACTCCACAAGGAAGATGCACTCACCTTTGATGTACCAAGACAGCCAATGGGCCTATCGGGTCTTCCAGACAGTCCTAGCTTTTCATTGATACCCAAATGGAAATAAGCCTATAAGACACAGGTCACTAGGCTTATTAATGATATTTTTAGAGAAAAAGATGCTGCAGAAGCTCAATCTAGGATCAACAAACTAGTCAAAGAATGGTGGATTTGGGGCAACTGAGTTTTCAAGAGTAAAACTCTCCAGATTCATTTAGCAACACTCTAAACTGAGGCACTGTTGTCGGGTTGGTGGACATCTACAATCTGCATGGTTTGGGTTCATAAGACAACTCATAAGAGACAGATGCTTCATTTGTCATTACAAAAAAATTCATCCACTTAAAGTTAAAAAAAATCAGTGCTACATATCATCCATAGAGTTTCTACTTTCAATATATTTTGTTAAAATGGGATCATTTTTACTGACTTGTTTTCTGATAACATGAATTTCAAAGTACTCCAACCGGAAATGCTGGTCTTGTTTATTTTCAGACCTTATGCAACAATGGTTTGATTCTGGTATATTTTGAAAGGGGTATGTAAATTATTGCAGAACCTGAAGAAGCATTAAGGGATTCTTAAAGGACACAGGTTAAACGTATATCCACAATGTATGCATGGATCCATGGGTACACATTACATAAATGGTTCCAATGATTTTTAATCCTCTCGATGTCCCAGTTATTGGGCTTATTATGGCAATGCTACAGATGACGCTAAGAGAGAAACACGAGAGGATAGGAAGGGTCACAGTACAACAGCAATGGCTGGAATTGTTGCGAGTTAAACACATCCAACCAGGAAGCCCCTCCACTCCCTGATGAAATTAGTTCTCCATTTTTTGTTATTTCAAAAATATTTGAATGGTATGAAATTGAATCCATAAATAATTTCTTAGACTTGCTTGGCCAAAGAAACTGTACTTTCTTTTTGAAATGTAATACCTGGCTTTTCACCCTCTAGAAGTGTATATCAATTTACATGGGTCTTTTATGTCAGTCTTTTTTGTTGAAATGATATTTCATTTTACTTTCACACTACTGTATTAAAATATCTTGGGTCATTTTCTCAGTGTATACGAATGCTCTCTATTTTTCATTTGTTTCCCCTTTTATCAGTGAGATAGAGGGCTTTACCCTTTGAAGTAAATATTTATCTAGTTTTCAATGCTATAAAATCTGAGGACAAGATAGTAGGGGAAGCATCAGTGCTGCTTCAGTATTAATACATTTTTCAACGAGGAAATTTCACAACCAGCTGTTATGTTACCAGGTTTTTATGCTTTATACACTGAAATCTGCAACTCATCTGTAAACAGCTTGTTTGAGCTGGTATCCTAAATATGGCCTTCCCATCTCCATAGGCTATAAAATATCCCTCTATTTTGTCTTCTAAGTGATTTTATTTTTAAATCACTTTGAAATACTTAAACAGGATCGGCAAGACAGCTCAACAGGGAAGGCAACTGCCTCTAACCCTAAGGGCCAGAAATTGATGTTCTGGGACCCACATGGCAGAAGGAGAGAACTGAAAGCTACAAGTTGTCCTGTGACCACCACATGTGTGCTGTGGAATGTAAAATAAATAAATAAATAAAGTGCAGTTAAAATTTAGGGTACTTAAAATTTCGATCTTCCTAAGAATGAATTTGTTTTTCCATTTGATGACATAAAAAATCCCTAAATTTTTCTAAATGGATAATCACAGTTCTCCTATACAGTATGATTGTGATTCAAACTGTTTTCAAATAATATCATCACATACAAAATTGTTGTTGTCTGCTCTTATGTCACTGAACTCTTGTGTTGATTTCTCCTTTGGAATGGTGCACTCCTGAGAAGAGTTTTCCCTGAATGGCACTGTGCCTGGAGCATGGCTGGTACCCAGGAAATACTTGACAGATCAACGGGTGAGCAAACTATTGTGAATGTCCTCCTAAGTAGCGTATTGTATGAACAGCAGAGGCTTTAAACAGCTGCTCAGAAGAAACACCCAGCAGCACCATACTGCACAGCTGCACAGAGACTGTACCACATGACACTGGACTTGACACTTTTCCACAAATATTTCTACATTTTCTGAAATAACTATATAACTAAATTATGCTATATTTCTTTTGCTAAGTAATAAAAGCAATCAATCATGCACAAGTAAAAATCAGTCTACTTAGGCTGGACTGCTATTCATTTTTATAGTAAAAAGATTCTCCTTTTTTCCCTGAACTATGACAACTGAGTAGGCAGTGCATGGTAATGCTGCCTCCAGGTATACACCCACATACCTAGTGTGCTGAAACACACAGAAATCCTCAAATCACCCAGAAATACAGACATGCTTCAGACCACGTTTGTACTGTATTCAGACTACCATGACGCACATCTCACCACATTATAAGATTTTAAACACAGAAGGCAAAAGCCCTGCTTCCAGTTGTCTGTCCTTATGTCCTTTGTGTGCTGAAATAGGGTGCAGCTTCTCAGAGGAAAAGGAGCAATGGTTGGCATCAGATTATGTGCATCCAATTCAAATTAGCAAGAAGACTTTTTTCTTTTAAAAGACAGCCTTATAATGGGCAGCATTATATATGTATATGTATATGTATATGAATATGTATATATGTGTATGTGTCTGTCTGTATATACACACACATATATGTATGTATATAAGCTAAACAACATATCTTAGGGAAGCAAGCCCACATAGCAGCTGGTTTGGAAGACAGGTTGTAGCTACAACCAACAAATATTCTTCCCCTTGACACAAGCACAGGGAAGCTGGGTTCTTGGTCACAAGAACAGAAGCCATATCCTACCACCAAAGTATAAACCACTTGCTAACACCATTTTAAAACAATAAAATGTAAATCAGGACATGCTTCAGATATTGTATAATAGAATGTTTTCTATTGCTTCTGTGATGCCATAGCACTTTGTACAAATACCGACTGTAGCTGTTATCACAGTGAACTATAATTAATTATTTTTTTTTTTTATTTACTGTCACACATACCACTATACTCAGAGGTCATTTAAGTGACAATCAGTGTTTTGCATATTCTACTTATTTGCTGATGAATGGATAAATGCCACATTCAAGTGATTTTTCCCCCCATCTATGCTGACTGTCCTTTTACATATGAATTGCATGTCATCTGGTAGAAAATTATCTTCCTACCATTAAAAATGTGCTCATATTAAATAGACTTGAATGCGATTTGGGTTAATTTGATTTGAGGCTATACTTACCAAGAACTAACCTTCCTTTCTATTCTCTAGCACTGTCAGTGAGAGACCAACACATGTCTCAGCTGAAACAGCCAGTGCCTAGCTGTACAAGCACCCCAAAACATGGGTACCTCAGTACCCATCTTCAGACTAGTTCTCAAAGTCAACTTCTAATCTCACCCCAAATAGGCATGTAATTACATCCGATCCACACATTACCATTTAATTTCTTTAGACTCAACAAACCAAACATAAAGGAGTTATTTCACCTTCCAAAAAGTAAAATGGGAAAAAACAGGCAGTAGCTATAAAAAATATTTAAAACTGAGGTTTAAGATGATATGTGGGAAAATAAAAGTACAAATGATTTTATACATGACAACTAAAACTGAGAGTGATTTGTTATTTAATATGCTTAGCCAAGTCTATTAATTGATTTTAACAGGAAAAGAAATCAACAAGACCCATGAATATAATGTACAAACACACACAATGAAGGATTTTGTTCACTTTGTTTTTTAAGTTAAAACACGATAAAGTGGACTTGTTAACTTAATTATCAACTTTAAGATAGCGCTCTTCTCTCAGGATTTAAATTTAACTATGCATCTTGACTTTGAATTAAGTCCAATAACTTTGTTTCAATACCTCTGCACAAGGGAGAAAGCAAAGTGACAGAATTACTTACTTTTACAAGCTCCTGCTGGGGCCATATCTGAATAGGCTCCACCTGCTGAGGTGTTTGAGTTTGAATTCCATATGTATTGAGAAAAACCTGAAGGCTAAATAGAGAACAGAGAGATGAGGTGGAGATGGAGGAAGAGAGCTATTTTTAGACACTGCATTTATAGTTCAGGAAATGTGAATGAAGGAGGTAAAAGGGAACAGACAATGCTACCTTAGAACATATGGTAAATGTGTTACTATTTCCTATATACCATGTACACTGGAATCTGCAGGCTTCCATGGCTTCTTCCCCAAAGTATCAGGAGCTTTGGGGGTGGGGGCAGTCAGAAAGGTAGGCAATGATTTTGGTAATCTCTATAATGTGTGGGTACTAATTTCTCATATTCACATTTATGTTTAAACATGAAAAGTATGTTGTATGACACTTAAGGTCACACTGATGACATGCTTGAAACTGCCAAGGTTTATTTCTACTGTCATCCTCAAATTGATAAACGTAAGCCAATCATCCCCTCCCTTTCCCACAGAAGAATGTTGCATCTCATACCGTTGGCTTTCTGCCACAAGTGCTACATGAACCACCAAGTCGTTTTCCAGTGGACCCTGGAAGGCATAAAAAGAGGAAGGAGAAACATTGAAAAAGATTTGGCTATGGCCAGCTATAATGAGAATCAAGGACGATATTAACTATCTCTAAGCAGTTCATTAGAGTGATGGACACCAGCTGGATCTAAGAAGTGCCTTTCTTTTCTTGCCCATCAGTGTCTACTAATCAATTTGATGGTGTAGACAGTGTAAGAGAACACCAGGAAGGAAAGTCATAAATTTCATCACTACTAGAGAGGCTCATTTGTCAGGGCTTTTTTGAATGATGCATAAGAGTAGTTTGGGGACTGAGAGTAATTTTCCATCATTTAACTCTGAAGGGAAGAGGAGGAACTAAAAATAAAAAGTTCAATTTATGTATTCTCCATAAAAAATGACTAACTTAAAACTGTTCATTTGACATCTTAACCATATCTAAGGTTATTCCCTTTGCCGTTAGCCAATTTTCTATTGGCACTTTATATATATGTATACATACATATATATAAAATTACATAAATATACATATATATGTAAAATTGCCTTTTCTCTAATATATAGTTCCTACATATTTGTCTATATAATTAGTATTATGTTCATTAAATATTAGCTGTTGGATTAAATAGTTCTAATCAAAGATAGTATTGGGTATTTGCTACTCTTGTGGGAAGAGTCACTAAGATATATATATATATATATTATATTATATATATATATAAAATTAACATATATGCTAAAATGAACCCAGCTTCAAGCCTGTATAAATTACCCATATTAGGGAGCTCTGAAAGTACTGATCAACTATAACCCCTTCCCAGGAACAAACCCAGCAGCCCCAATAGTATGCTATAAAACATTTGATTTGTCCACAGTATGTTGTAAAACCTTTGATTTACTGTAGGTTTCCGTCTGCAGGCAAGAAACACTGGAATACTTATTTATATTAGCAATAAATATCATAAAATCAATTGGAGAATTCCCAGAATCACCATGAAAATGCCATTACAGGCATACTGTCATATGATTTAAGAAAATTTTAAGAAGATTGCAAATGTGCTCTGACAACTTCCTTATCAGAAGGTAAGGGTAATTAGTACTTCCTGAGTGACAGTTTCTCTAATAATATATTTTCAACTTCTAAGGTTCCTCTTCCTCCCCTTCCCCTCTCACCAGCCCTGTGGAACCACTATTCTCCCTTTCCCATCATCTATTCACTGACCAAGTACATATCAATACACAAGGCTCCACATTCTACCACATTTCAGCTAAATATAGCTGTGTCTCTCCCTGGGGCGCTCAAAGCCCAATGGAGAGATGGAGAACTGCAAACTGTGATGTATGTCCATGATAACACAAAATCTTCCATAGCATTTTATTAGGGTATATCATACAGACAAACCTTCCTGAAGGACTGCTTACTTTAATACACACTTGGGTGGTTTCTAATTTTGTTGCTTCTGCAGAAGATGTGTCTTTACTTCAGAGAACTAAGGCTTTGGGAGAGAACAAAGTGCTTCACATACTCAACATACAGAACACTCAAAAAGGGCACTGCTGCTACCGCTGTTCTCAGTTACTTTTGCACCCACTGTAGGACAGCTGATCCTCTTTGGTGAGTTAAAACTATGCCACCCTGGATCCATGATTCTAAGACACGTAGATCAGCAATTATCATGTATGTGAATATGATGGCTAGAATTTCAGGTATCTCAAAAGATTACTCCCATCTTCCTTAATATCAATGTCTGTTCTCCTTTACCCCTCAAATTCAGTGGGACTGAATTTGAAGTCCTGAAGTGGGACTTTAAGCAAAGGTAGGCCCTCACTAGACACAGGGGCTGCCAGTTCAGGGACTTGAGGCCTGTGGCTTCCAGCACTGTGAGAACCCATTGTTTATAAGTTGCCCAGTCCATGGTGTTCTGTTTCAGCAGCCAAGCAGACTAAGACACTTTTCATCTTTCCCTTCTCAAACTTGAAAATAACCCCTTCTGTTGCCGCCTGTGCAATTCTCCCTCTGCTCTGCCGTCTGGGGCGGATGACCCACATACTGACCCACATACTGAGGTACTGCGGGATCTGTGAGCATGCATTCCACTCCGTTCCATTCTCTACAAGCCCCATTCAGCTTGCTGTTTGGTCCCAGTTCCCACACCTTACTTGTTTTGTGGACGTTCTTCCTAGGTTCTTTCCAAAGTCAGTTTTAAAACTTGACTCTTTATTAACTTGACCCTCATTCCAAATAGACTTTTATTACAACTGCGTAATTGGTCACTGTCTCTCAGTGCCCCAGAGTCAGTCATCTTTGATATTTTACCCTTTACATGCAACTTCTACAGCAGTTTTCTGAAGTGAAAAATAACACCACTAGCACTTAAACACACCACTTTGTGTATGAGAACCATTTAAGTGCTGAACAAACTCCCATTCCTACCTTAAAGATAAGAAAACAGTGAGGCCTAGAAACCTTAGCCAACTTATACCCAACACAAAGCTAGTGAACATCAAAGCTAGGATGGGGGCCAGGCAGTCTGGCCCCAGAATCTGGGCCCCTAACCACTCATTTGCCCCACCTTTACAACACCACTGAAAGGGCAAGTGTGGAGACAAAGGAATCAATCCCATAGAATCCCATCTTGTCACCTTCAGTCACCATCTTGGTCATCTAACAATGACCTTAAGCTAACCCTGACAAAACAGATGTATTACATCCCAACTTTAATTCCACATATTCTCAAAGCATTGTTTATTCATAGAAAGCTCACACTATGAACTCTCGCTCTGCTCAAAAAAAGGTTCTTTTTCTCTCCCCCCCCTTTTAAGCCCCATGATAAATAATAACTCAAAAAAATTGTCATCACATACGAAGTATCAGGATGTTATAATAAATTACTCATCTAAATGCATCTATTAGATTTGTTATTGTGATTCCCATTTACTAACGAGAAAACTGAGGCTCTGAGTGTCTCTGAGTGTTTTAAAACACTTAGGGTATAGCTCAGAGGCAGAGCACTGTCTCCAATACACGAGGCCCCTGTGTTTGATTCCAGACCCACAAAAACAACAACATTTACACTACAAAATCAGTCAGAGCCCAGCACTGGTGGTGCACGCCTTTAGTCCCAGCACTTGAGATGCAGAGGCAGGGGGATCTCTGTGAGTTCAAGGCCAGCTTGGTCTACAGTGCTACTTCCAGGACAGGCTCCAAAGCAATACAGAGAAACCCTGTATTGAAAAACCAAAAACCAAAAACAAAATAATAATAATAAATCAAGGTCAGTAAGGCTGGGATTAAACCAGTGTAGTCTATGTCTTCCGTCATTACAGTGTGATATATGCCTTGCTAATGTGCTGCTCACTCAACAATAAGTCCCGCTAGCTAGTGCTGCCTGTCCCTGCTCACCACCACTCAGCTCTGCCAGTCCCCTTTCACCCCCACTTGCTCTGCCTGCCCCCCCTCACCCTCACATACCATCTCCATATGCACTGCCACTAGCACCCCACTCAAAGACCCTATGATCCTGTACTTGGTCAACTAACTGGTCGTTCTACCCCAGCCTTAACTCTGCCATTCATAGCCCCCATCCTACAGACAGCTATTTAAAAAGTGTAAATCCATCATCCATAACTGGCATCCTGCCTCATCCCCACATGCATACCATACAAACTCTCCAATGGTTTTCTGTCACCTATAGGACAAGAACCACAGTGCTTTCAGGCCATCTTTTCTGCCCCAGGTCCTGCCTACCTCATTCTTTCTTCTTTTCCACCATGTTCTAGTGACACTGGGTTCTCTCCGGCCCTTGAACGTGCATCCCAGGGCTTTTGCAGGGGCTGCTCTTCCTCAGAACACTTTTCCTACAGATTATTGAATGAGCGTCTTCTCACGTGGGTCTAACCATGATCCTGTCCTCTTAGGGTCTCCTCTTTCCTCTATAGATAAACCTGCTTTCCCCAGGACTCTCCAGCCCCTCCATTCCACTTTAGCTTCAGGTCTACCTCAAAGGTCCTGTCAGCTCCAGAAAATGTGTTACGTTATTTATTGTTATTCAGTCAGCAGAGAGTAACTCTGTGAGAGCAAGGACTTCAAGCTTCCTTGTGTTTACTGTTCTGCCCCACTGGCATTACTATTTGATAAATGACTGCCCAGGAAAGTCTCTCAGTTCAGTGTTTATCTATAAGATTAGGTCTAGCACACATGGAGAGATTCAAAGTAAAAAACGACTTTATGTAAAATATTCACAAACTGTGGTTTACTACACAAATGACATTTGTACTATTGTTTTTCATGTGACTCCTGGAGTCACCTTTATCTCAGTCTGCCTTTGCTTACTCATCTATACACTGGAAATAATAAAAGTCTACTTCAGGATTTGGGATAGAGCCATTTGGTCCAGTTATCTACCTGCCTAGCACACACATGACCCTAGCTAGACTCAATCTCCAGTGCTGAAAAAAGAAAAAAAAAAGAAAAAGAAAAAAAAAAAAAACAGAAAAAACTAAAACAAAACATCTACTGTATAATTGTGATGACTGCACATGCATTTAACACTATAATCCAAGACCACTAATTCTACCATACATCTGGCGTCATTCCAACAGCTTCCTTGGTGTTTGGCTTCACACAGGCCTCTGTTAGTCTTCTGTACTTTACAGCCAAGGTATTTTTCTTATATCATTGACTTGCCTGAAGGAGGTAGCCAATTGTAGAATAAATGAAGAGAAGAATGATGGGTAAGAGAATGGATATTTCTATGTAGTGTTTACGACATCCATTCTCTACTCCAACCAGTGTCTCCCAAATAAAGCCAAAACTCTAAAAGGAATTTTACAACCTAGATGCAACCTTCTCCTTCCTGTTTACATTAGAACACTTCACGAGAAAACATAGTTCACTCTCTCCCACCTCAAGTTTCTGCCTGCTGTCCTTCACATTAGGACTGCAATTCTCTTCTCTGTCTATTCACATTCTGACTCTTTTGAGTCAGTCTCCTCTAACTATGGCTCCAAAACATCAGAGT